TTTGTATGTAATTAATAGAGTGAGAATGAGAAGGAAAGTAATTTAAGGTTGATTAAATCTCCATTGTGTACCAGGACTTCTGTGCACACGTGTTCCCTTACTCTTCACGTGACCTTCACAGGGGTTAAGACCGAAGTTATCCTGGACCATGGAGAAGGAAGCAGATACTCAAACAGGTTAAATGACTTGTGCCCAACACAGTTAAGAATGTGACTGAGCAAGGACTCAAGGCCAGGGTTGTTTATGTTCACTGTTCCATGCTGCTCTTACAATAGAGTCTCATGAAGGAGCTGAGTTGAGTTAGGTCAGGCAAATGGCAGGGAAAGGAAATCCAAGACGTTGGCTCTCACCTTTGGTCATAGTTCTTTTTTTTCCCCCTTCAAAAGTAAGTTCCTATAACCAACTTTTTAAATTATTTTCAAAATGTCATTGTGAGTAAACTGATGCTTGGCTTTCACAGAAAGTCAAAATGAAACGATCACCGTTCTGCGTGGACATAACTTTTACAACTTTATTTGACAGGACTTGCTGGTTCTTGAAGAACAAGAGGTGAGTGATCTTATGGAGATATTTGCTCCTGCTGTGCTCTCCCTCCAGTTTGTAAATATACTTCCTTCTTCACTGGGAACACAGTCTTTTCTTTCGGTCAGACCTCTATGTGAGTCTGTTATCACTCAAAGACTTTACTGACATGTTTTTTCAAGGTATATTTCAGAATTTTCTATGCAGCTAGCTATAAAGATATAAAAACAATGAAACTACTTACATCTACTTGGGAACGTTCAAATGTTAACCTTGTGATCAGGGTGAGTAATGAAGTTTTAATTTTCATTAAAGTAGGGTGTTTATGCTTTATTAGGATGTTCTCATTAATATGCACAATGGCATATTTACTTGCATGTTCCTATTCCCTGTTGCCCCATTTAAAAAAAATACATTGGGTTTTCTAAGTATATAACTAATATGAGGATATATTTAGAATATTATCAAATCAGTAAATGGCAATATCATTTGTCCTATTGCTCAGGCCAAACTTGGAAAAATCCTAATGCTTCTCTTTCTTTGATACCCCATATCTAATCCATCAGCACATCCTGGTGACACTTCATAAAATATCCCTGATTCAAACACTTCTCAACACTTATACCACAACCACTCAGTGTGATGATGCCACCCCCACCATCTCTTGCCCGGACTCTGCAGTCTCCTAAGTCTCTTCCTGGCTTACACGCCCACCCTCTCTGGTTTTCAGATAGCATGTCGAATCGGGCTGTCTTCCTGCTCAAACTCTAAAGTCTTCCCGTCCCACCCAAAGAAAAGCCGCAAATCCTTACCCTGAGCTGCCAGGGCATGCAGGAAGTGACCCCTGCTTCCTCTCCCGTCCTCGGCTCCACACTGACCATACTGACCTCCTTATTCTACCTCCTCAGAAAGAGCCTGTTGTTCCCACCACCGGGGGTGCTTGTCCCCCAGATGTCCTCAAGGGTTGTGCCCTCACTGAATCAAGACCTCTGCTCAAAGAGAACTTCCCTAACCACCCTGTCAAGAACACCACACCCTGCCTCTCACCTCCAGCCCCTTTACTCTGCTTTGGTTTTCTTCTTAACTCTGTGTTTTCATTTGTTTATTGTCTGTCTCCCCTGTGAGATTATAAGCACCCTGAGAGCAGGGACTTACTCACTTTTGTTCTCAGCTGTATTCCTATATCCTAGAACAGGTCAAATAGAAGGTACAGAGTAAATATTTGGTAGTTAAACAAGTGAATGATTGAATGAATTATGAAGTACTATGATGTCATTTTAAAAATGGGGTAGACTGCTAAGGTCTGAATATTTGTGTCCCCCCAAAATTCATGTGTTGAAACCTGACTAGGAATATGGTGGTATTAGGAGATGGGACCTTGGGAAGTGATTAGGTCATGAGAGAGGAACCCTCAAGAATGGGATTAGTGCCCCCTATTAACAGAGGCCAAGGGAGTGTATTTGCCCCCTCTGCCATGTGAGTACGTAGCAAGAAGGTGCCATCCATGAACCAGGAATATGGCCCTCACCAGACACTGAATCTGCCAGTGCCTTGATCTTGGACTTCCTAGTCTTCAGAACTGTGAGAAATAAAATTCCTGTTGTTTATAAGCTACCTAGTTTATGGTATTATGTAACAGCCTGAACAAACCAAGACATAGACCTTTATTTACTGGCATGGAAAGATTTCCACAACATAGTATTTACTGAAAAAAGCCAATCAGTGGACATTATTTACAGTATAATCCCAGTTATGTTTTTATAAACAAATATTTGTATGTCCATTCATTCATTGATTCAACAAGCATTTATTGAGCTCTTACTGTGTGTGTACCATGTACTATTTGAGGCCTTGGAGATGTATCAGTGAGCAAGCAAGGTCCCTTCTTTGTGGAACTTACAGTCTTGTTAATGAGCCCGCAAAGGGGGTTTTTAATTACTGAGACAATGAGGACTGTCAAGGAGGAAAGGAAGTTTATTGTGGAGGACATCAACCGACAGGTAGGAGGACTACCTCAAATCTGCCTCTGTGACCGATGGGATCAGGGTTTTTCTAGAGGTGAAATGAATAATGCATGAAGTGAGTGAGCATCATTACACGATTGGGGTAGAGCGCAGGGCACGCAAGCACAGTGAGAAATCATACTGGCACGTACATCATATGATCAAAATATGGTGGCTAAGCCCCTCCCATGGCAGAGATCTTAGTGGTAGAGTGAGCTGGGGGTAATATTTGTCACCCTGTCGGTCTTGTGGGCATGCAGGTTGTAGGGAGCAGGTTGCTTAGCAGGTCCTGGAACAAGATTTGCAGTGGAATGCCACTTCTCTTGACTTTTTTGGACAATCAAGTGGTGTAAGACTTTGTAGTTATCTTGTAGCTACAAGGAGGTTCTGCTGTTTCTGATAAACAATTCAAAAGGGAATGGCCCCATGAAACAGAAAGTTACTAAGTTCTGGTCAGTAAATCTTACTGGTCTGAGAACTTGAAACATAAGAGAACTACAGAAAGGCGTTTTTGTTCTTGGAGCTGCTTACAGTCTGGTGGGGTAAGACAAGCCAAATAAGTAAACAAACACACGTAGCATGGTAATAACTGTAGCCCCAAGATCTGTGAAGAAGGTAACACACAGTAGTGTGCTGTGATGTCAGGAGTGGGTTTTTTACATTGAATAGCAGAGACAGTCTCTCTGAGGCAGTGACATCTCAGCTGATTCTTACACATGTAGATGTAAATGCAAAGAAGAGACTTGAAAGGATGCATCCCAAATTGTTGACAGCAGTTACTTTTGTGCAGAACAGTAGGACTATAGGTTGGAATGTGGCAGAGGGTGGGCAAAGGGGAAGATGCCTACATTTTTAAGGGGTCTCACTATGTTGCCCAGGCTGGCCTTAAACTCCTTGGCTCAAGTGATCCTCCTGCCTCAGCCTCCCGAGTAGCTGGGACTACAGATCTTTGTCATCACACCTGGCTACATTTTTATCTATATATCATCTGTGTTGGATTCATGTTGCAGGAGAATTTGTTGACTCTGTGTGTAATTTGTAAAAGGCAAACAGTAAAAATAATCCACATTTCTGACAAATATTTGAAAAATACAGACATGTACAAAAGATAAAAGGAAAATATCACCTACAATCACAGAGACAACTACATTTTGGTATATATGTTTGTTATGTTTTATATAAAATTAGGATTATACTATGTAGAGTTTTTAATGTCTCAAAATTACTATAGTCATTAATTCACAGATATTTATTGAACATCCACTGAGTGCCTTCACGTGCCTGTTGTAACAGATAAACAATACAAAAATTTATTTATGGGAAATGTGAACACCTGCCCCCACTTCCCCACTTCCACCCCCTAACAAGGAACCCCAGTTAGCTGTTTGTATTCTTCTATGCTTTTTTTGAAACTCCCAAGTTTTGAAAAATAAGTTACTGATCACTTTATTTCTAAAATTACTTCTTTACTAGGAAGATATTTGCTTGAAGCAACAAGAGTCACTTGTTATGACAGCCTGAGGAAATATCCTCCAGTCTCCATCCTCCAGAGCTACCTTGTGGCCAAGGCATTTCTATTTACTCCTGCAGCTTCTCAGCTAGCATAAATTGGGAGCATTTATTCCAATTCCAGCTTATTCTAGTGATAAACTATCAGCTGCAAAGATGGGCTGGGAAAAAGTTAATAAACAATAGTGTGATGTTCCCAAAAGGTTAGCTATTTGGTAAAGTGATGTCAGTGTCCTGAAACCTGTGTTTCATTTGCTGTGTAGAGAGACACCCCTGTGAGAGAACATGGCATCCCAAGCTATAATAGATATGGAGAGGAGAGAGATGTGCCAGGAACATGTGGAACCCTAGAAATACAGAGGCATTGACTAAACAAGAGTAACAAGGAACCAGGGTGTCTAGTTTTGAATAAGCCATCATTTCCCAGTTCCACAAGATTCCCTGGAATGGGACTTTAGTTTTCAATTATACTTCACTTTTCTCAGAAGAAATATAATTCCTAACATACTATTAATTCCCAAGACTGTGATTGCACATTGGTTTGTAATATGCTGAGTTTTGTCTTATAAAATTTAGAACTTAAAAAATTTAAATTCCATACAGGTAGGAATGACAAATGTGACCTTATCTGTATGTTGAGTGTCTATCAGGACTTAAGTTCTGAGAAAACCAGTGTTTACGCATTCCCTGCAGCAGTCACCTCCTTCTAGGGGCCCAGGTGTGGCCTTGGGACCTTGAGAGCTCCCTTGTGTCCCTCAAGATCCAGTGCTGCACGTAGCACCCAACCTCACGGAGCACTAAGGGTGTCTTGTTGAATGGCTGGTTAAAATATGATCTGTTATGGTCCGATTGCCCCAGATCAAACTATCCCCTCCTAAAATATGAAATAACGCATTGTAATAAGCAATACCTTGATTTCTAGAGATAGGTGGAAAACTCTCTGTAAGTCATGGGCATTATTTGGGAAGTGCTAGAAACCAAATTCCCTAAATGAGGCTTGTAAGTAAGTTCAAGTACTTAACAAGGCCTTGCAACACCATTCTTTCTGGAATCCCCACCTGAAGCAGGACAGATCCTTATAATTTATCATTTAAACTGGGACCCTTTTGAGAGTAATTATTATTAATAACACCAGGACAATAGACAAAACAGATGTAAGCCAAGGCTGTCTTAGCAAACCTGGATGCATATACTCCCTACTATAAGTGACCTCCCTACTATAAGTGACCTTGAAGATCCTACGCCGTCGGGCGCACAGGTACCTGAAAGATCCCCACCGTGCAACCCTCCATGCCTTACAGACCTTGCGATTCTTTAGTCTAACCCTAATAACTTGTGCCAAAGACTAAACAAGGCCTTGCAACACCAATCTTTCTGGAGTCTCCACCTGAAGCAGGAGGGGTCCTCAGCAAGGGTACTGGTAGCATGGTGCTCAGAGCAGCCTCATAAAAGCTTCTAAAAGCTTAGGTCAGTCATCTGGTGGCAGTAGGCCCCACCTCGGCTTGTAGCTCTAAGTTTCACTCAACTCAATACCGTCTAGAGAAGACAATGCCATGATATTGGAAAGAATGCTTGATCCCAGGTTCCGCCTCCAGCCCTGCCATTCACTTAGCTCCAGCTGTGGGCAAGGCTCTTTCCTTCTCTTTGTTCCTTGTCTATTCCTTAACTGACCACCAAGAAAGCCCCCATCTCAGGGTGGATCAGACAACCTTGCAGAGGTCGATTCTCTTCCAACATCAGGGTTTTTTATTATGAAATATTTCAGGCATACAGAAAAATACAGAGAATAATATAATGAAGATCTATAAACCCACTACCCAGTTTAAGAAAAAAAAGAAAACATTAAAAATATAGTTGAGACCCTGTTTGCCACTCCCCGACCCCATTCCTGTGTCTTGCTCCCTTCCCTGCAGAAGCTGCTAATTATTTCCACAGGATCAAATTTTAATTCAGTTTTGAGCTGAGGATGGTAAACTGTACATTTGTACCAGCTACTGCTTGCTTGGCTTTTTTTTTTTTTCCCCCTTTGGCACATCTGTTTTGTGACTTCCTCAGATTAAATATCTTTAGGGATTGGGGAAAATGAGCTTTTAGTGTAAATTGCCAACCATTTCCATTTCTTCCATTCTATTTCTAAAAGAGTGCGCAAGATACCAGCCCGAGATTGTTATGTTAAGCTTTGAATTACAACGAATCCTCCTTTGCTGACGGGGATTTGGACTATTGCTGGCAGGTTGATTAGAAGATGGTACCAGGCCTATGAGTTACTGTGGCCATTTGCTTGGAGCTCTGTTTTGACACAGAATGGAAGTGACATCCTGCAGAGGCCATTAGTAATGAAATTGCAAATGAATTAACTCATCTAAAGCATATAGTCTCACTTGTAAGCTATAAAAACCTGTAATAATAAAGGAAGGATTGTTGTTAACGTTGGTTAAAATCAGGATGGACAGGAGGAAGGAACCCCCCCCAAGTGTCCATTCTGGTGACTGAGGTTGTCCCAAGTAATGAACAACACATCTCAGAACTATGCTTTGATGATAAAAATTAATTTTTAACACCTTTTGTTCTTACCGTAAGGGCTCTGTGAATTTCAAGTTTGGGGTTCTTTTTGCCAAAGACGGGCAGCTCACTGATGATGAGATGTTCAGCAATGGTGAGTGGTCTCCTCCCGTTTCTACTGACAGAGGCCCTGTCCTGCCTTGTTGCACTTTTGATAATCAAAACTGAACTTGTCTGTTGAGTTGGAGTAATGCAAGGAGACAGTCTTACAAAATTTCAGGGTAAATTTTGTAAGGCAGTTGTTGCATATATTTATTGATCACCTAGTTTGTACCAGTCACTGCTCCAGGCACTGCAGAGATGGAAAATGAGATGGAAAGCTGGAGAATTTGGTTCTGCATAGTCCCAAGAATAGTAGAAGATTTTTCTGTGTTTTTTATGGTTAGGAGAATTATATGATGGTGCCATCTTCCTGATATTTAGCACTTTTCATGTTAAATACCTCTTTATTATTAATGGTAGCAATAATAAGATTTTCATTTTGCAATACCAAACACCTGCACCCCCAGTCTGGTAGTGGCAAGATTAGTCCGTCTGGTTCTGTAGTTTTCTTTCTGTGGATTCCTGGCAATTTTGGAACTTCCTCATGGTCCCCAAGAAGGAAATGTGACTTCTCCATACTGTTTATCGTGCACATAAAGCAGAGCTTAGTTAGTTTTCAAATGATTCCAGGGAATAGTTAGAAAAGGAGGACTTGTTGATACCCATGCTTTCTTCATACTCTATCTCTTCCTGCAGAAATTGGAAGTGAAGCTTTTCAAAAATTTTTAAATCTCCTGGGTGACATAATCACTCTAAAGGGCTGGACAGGCTACCGTGGCGGTCTGGACACCAAAAGTAAGCTCGTCTCTTGATCTCTTCTGTTGTAATTTGTATAACATTTGTTAGTAGGCCTGGTCTGTATCTGAACTTATACCTGAGATGGGGGAGGGAATGGACAAGAGAGATTTGGAAGGAGCCGAACTTCACACGCATCTTACATGGGGTCATGGGCACATTCGGTGCCTCTATGGAGCTCTGCAAGGCTAAATCAGCCCTCACAGCCTGGGTGGAGTCATGGTCTGCCCATAGATACCATGCAGTACCATCTGCGAGCCAGGGCTGTGCTGGCCCTGGGCATATAGCAGCAGATAACCAACATGGGTCCCTACCTTTCCAGGAGCCTGGAGGCCAGGGGTAGCACAGACATTAAACAGATGATTGTCAAATAGTTTAGCACCAAGCACTGAACTAAGAGGGCAAAGTCCAGAGTGCCATCATGGCAGTTTGCCTAATCTGGGGGATTAGGGCAGACTTCTCTGGGGGAGTGACATTTGAAACCAGAAAAGAATGAGTAGGAGTAATAGGAGTGTCTTAGAGGGGAAGAGAATTCCAATCAGAGAGAACATCTGTGAAGTCCCTGAGGCAGGAAAGAACATGATGTGTTCTGGAAACTAGGAGAATGCCTTTATGGCTGGAGGGAGCAGAGGCGCCGAGAATGATGCAGTGTGACCTGGAAAGGAGGACAGGGCATGACCTTGCAGGGAGTTTGAGATCATATTAATAACTTTGGATTTTATTCCCCATGTGACTGGATGTCAGTAAGGGGTTTGAAGTAGAGGAGGGTGAGATCAGATCTGCACCTTTGGGCAGAAGGTGTGTGAAGAATAGCCCAGAGGGGAGGCAGAGGAGGAGCCCGCTGAGAGGCTGTTGCAACATCCCAAACCAGAGACGGGATCGCCTTGCGGGAGAGGCCGCAAGTAAGGGGTTGCGGGGCGAAGGGTGGACTCACTCAGGAGCCAGTTCCACGGTAGACTCTGCAGGCTCCCTCAGCTGACTGAAAGTGGGGTGAAGAGGAGAGAAGACTGTTTATATGTCATTCTATGTTAATTTCATCCTGTATGCTCATAGCAACTGGCAGGCAAGGAATCATAACATGCTATCCTCTTTAAGCCAGACTTCTCATGACCTCCTCTGTTCAGAGGCGAGGCATGAATCAGACAGCACAGAGCTTAGAGAGAGGAAGAAGTCTCTCCACGTGGGCAGGAGCCTCGCATCAGATGTAGAGTTGATGCTTCTATGTGGGTGGATAATCCAGAATGATCTTTGAGCATGTACTGTGTGCTATATTTCCCTGGTCTGCAAATAAAAACTATTTCCTTATGGCCTCAGAATTCTTTATGTTCACTAAATGCATATTTGTGTTTTACAGATGACACCACAGGGATACATTCAGTTTATACTATATACCAAGGGCACGAGATCATGTTTCATGTTTCCACCATGTTGCCATATTCCAAAGAGAACAAGCAGCAGGTATGTGTGAACACAGCTTTCGGAGAACACACAAACCATTGTGTGGTGACCCGAATGTGGAGAGGGCACCATTATGATTCTGTAGAATTAGAGGCCATGTTTGTTAACATATGAGCTGAACTTCAGCTACCAACTTAGGGATGCTTTTGACAGTCTGTATATTTGAACTTTCAACAGGCCTTAGGAAGAACTATTCTCACTTATTCTGTCACCATAAAAGATCAGAGATAATAGTGCGTGTACGTGTTTGTGTGTGAATATGTATATGTCTTAGTATGTGTGTGAGTGTGGGTTTATAGACCCTTGAGAGACTGTTTTGTATGTTACCTTTTCTCTGACTTCTCTCAATGTGCCTGTGTCTTGTCAGAAGGAGACTGTCCAGGACATAGAATAAGTGGATCCTGAGTCACGATTGATAAGTGCTGTTTTCACATTAATGCAGGAGGTTAACACTGAGTGTCTGCATGGGCCATGCCAGGTTGGAAAAAACCTCTACCCAGGATTCTCCTCACCCACCCCAGAGGCTGGCCATTTTCGGGAGAAAGTTTTCCAATCTGTTGGAATTAGACATAACAAAGACACATGCTGCCAACTTCCTAGGGATTTGGGGGAGTGCCATTTAACTTTTTGAGATTCTTATCCCCTTTTTACACATTGAAGTCATCTGTGTGACTAGATATTACTAATATGATGGACAGTTGTTTAGCAAATATTTGTGAAAAATATAGATCTACAGAAAGTATGTGATGGAGCTAAAAGCTTTTTTCTGAGCACTTAAAATTTTTAGTCCAGTAAGAATGGAAGACACAAAGCAAATCAGTGGGCTAGAGTGTGATGTCACCATTGTGGGATATGAAGGTGCTTTGGGGACACAGTGGGGAAGAGTAGGAATAGCCAGTTCTATTTGATGATTTGGGGTCTGGAATAAGGAACTGATGGGTTGTCTCGTGGGCATTGCAGACCCGTGGAGGTCTTAAGCTTGTTCTGGTTTTGGGAGGATAAACTCTGACAAAGTCACGTTGAAGCAGGAAGTGCATAGGCCCAGGAAGACTGCGTAAGTAGCTGAAAATGAGTATCTACAAGGCACCTTCATGTGGTTGAGACACCAGTATTATTGCTACTACACACCTCGTAGTATTTGACGCTCTTAGCATCTTGGGATCATGTGGAGAAGACAGACAAAGCTGGTCTTCCCAATCATCATGAAGTGTATTGACCTCTTACATTTCAACAATAACACCAAAAAACTTCCACTGAAATATTTTACAGTCCTTCCCCCCAGCTCCAACGTTTTCAGCCCTGTACATTCACCAAGATTGCCCATGTCCTATGACAGATAGGAGCATTAGCCAGAGAGGCAGGAGAAACAGATGTGCCAGTTCAACCTTTGCCCAACTCCAAAGTCTTTCTCATCAGAAGGATCATTACTGACCTCCTCTCTTGGTGGAAGGTGCTAGCATGTGAAGGAGTGACAGCATTCACCAGGAGTGCTGAAGCATTTCCAGATGGACCCAGGTGCGCTCCACATCTTGGCCGGCTTCATGCATAGTGTGGGTCTTCCACTCACCCAGCATGAGTAGATGTGAAAAAAGTCAAAATTATGAAACTTGTATCTATTACCAGGAAGATAATACAGGTAGGAAGAGACAAATGCAGAATGATAGCGATCCATCTCAGTGCCTAAAGGAGAGCAGAGAAGGACTGCTAACCATGAACCTCTCTCTGTCCTTGTCCTGGGTTCATGGGGGCCTAAGGTAACAGCCAAAAAGTTAGAGGCCAGCCTGGATCATAGAATCCTGGTGGCTTTTTGACCTCCTCATGTCTAGAACACCAGTGGAACAGTCCGAGCCACATTCTGCATATGATTTAAAGAAGCAGGCTTCTACAAATATTTTGTGAGTTCTGTAACTTCGTCCGTCTCTCCCCTCCTACCTCCATCACCATACCAACCCATAATGGAGACAGAGGGAGGGGTGTTGATGTTTTCCTCTCTGGGGCCTCATCTTCTTCCTAATGTCTCGTGAAGTCCAGCACCACCGCCATCTCCTAGTCTCCAAGCAGTCCAGACCCTGACACAGCACTTAGTACCGCATGAAGGCACAGGCTTTCGGGTCCGAGCCACATCAGTGAGCTCTGTGATCCTGGGCATGGGGTGTGCATTGCCATGACCTGGGGCTCGATTCTTGGTCCTCATCCCTTTCCACACTCATTCACTCCCTGGATGATCTCATCCAATCCTGTGGCTTTAAATAGCTTTTCTATACCAATAACCCTCAAATTTACATCTCCAGCTGCACCTCTCGCTAGAACTCCAGACACTGGACCTCTTACTAGCACTCCTTCTCAACCCCTCCTCTGCGCAAGACACCTCAAACCTCATCTGACCAAAACTGCACTCTGGGCTCGCTATTTCTTCTTCAATCTTTTTTATCTTAGTTGATGCTTTTCCAGTTCTTTCTGTTTCTGGGGCAAAATGGCCATGGAATCCCTCTTGGCTTCTCTCATTTTGTCTTATCTCATATTTAGTTTGTCAGGAAATCCTCTGGCTCTCCCTTCAAAATACATCTAAAGTCTGACCACTTCTCATACTTCTCTGAGCCACCGTCATCTCTCGATGGATTATCGCAGTAGCTTCCTATCTGGCCTCCCAGCTTTAACAATCACGTATTGCTTAACAATGGGGATGCATTTTAGAAATTCATGGTTAGGTGATTTTGTTGTTGTGCAAACATCATAGAGTGTATTTACACACACTTAGATGGCATAGCTTCTAACACATCTGGACTGTATGGTGTAGCCTATCACTCTTAGGCTGCAAACCTGTACAGCGTGTTACTGTACTGAATACTGTAGGCAATTGTAACCACAATGGTAAGGATATTTGTGTGTCTAAACCTATCTAAACATAGAATAGGTACAGTAAAAATATAGTATTACAGTCCTACTGGACTACCATCCTATATGCCATCTGTCATTGACTAAAACATCGTTCTGCAGTGCATGACTATACAAACATGTCTCCTGACAGCCTATTTCTCAATCCAGCAGCCAGAGTGATCTTTCCAATGCAAGTCAGATCCTGTCACTTCTCTCAACCCCTCCTGTGGCTCCCGCTCCACTCGGGGTAGAAGCTAGAATTTTTCCAATAGCCTTGCAGGGTCCTATCACTTCTCTCCTCTCACTGCCCACCCCTCTTCTTATTCTCTCCATTCTAGCCACATTGGCTTCCTCTCCTGTTGCTCAGAGTTACTGGATACTGTCCCGCTTATGGCCTTTGTTCTGCCCTTCCGGCCGCCTAGAACCCTCCTATCCACCAGTGCCCAGGGGGCTGACTTGCCCACTTTCTCCAGAGCCACTCACGTGTGAACTCTGTGAAACCGGTTCTGGTGACCATTTAAACACTGGGGGCCGTCAGGTTGCTCTCCTTCTCCTCCTTCTGACGTGATTATTTCATATGCTTGTCACTCTGCTCACTGTGATTTTGTACCCCTGCCAGAGTATAAATGAGGGCGGGGATTTTTGTCTGCTTTGTTCCTGGCATGGGGTAGGAGGAGCTCAATAATTATTTTTTTAAAATACATAAAAGTTTATTGAGATATAACTCACATACCATATATATTCACCCTCTTAAAGTGTACAATTCAGTGGGGTTTAGTAATTTCACAAGGTTCTCAAACTATTGCCACAGTCAATTCTAGAGATTCTCATTACCCCAGAGAGATACCCTGCTCCCTTTAGCCACCACTTCTCTCTCCCTGCTGGTGATCACTAATCTACTTTCTGTCTCTGGACGTTTCATATAAATGAAATCATATAATATATAGTCTTTTGTAACTAGCCTCTTGAAATCAGCGTGTTTTCAAGGTTCATCCATGTTGTAGCATGAGTTAGTGTTTCATTCCTTTAAGTGCTGAATAATTTTCCATTGCATGGATATATACCATATTTTGTTTATCCATTCACCAGCTGATGGATGAATAATTACTTATTTTTATTGTGGTAAAATATGCATGATGTAAAATTTACCATTTTAACCAGTTTTAAGTGTATAGTTCATTGACATTAAGTACATTCTGTGGTGATAGTTAATGTTATGCAACTATCACCACTGTCCGTCTCCAGAACTTTTCATCTTCTCAAACTGAAACTCTGTACCTATTAAACAAATAAATCCAAATTGCCCCCAGCCCCTGGCAACCACCATTCTACTTTGTCTCCATGATTCTGACGACTCTAACTGCCTTATAGAAGTGGAATCATACAAAATTTGTCCTTCTGGCTTATTTCACTGAACATAATGTCCTCAAGGTTCATCCATCAGGATTTCATACGTTTTTAAAACTGAATAATATTCTACTGCATGTATATTCCACATTTTCTGTATCCTTTCACGTGTCAATAGACGTCGGGTTGTTTCTGCCTTTTGGCTATCGTGAATAATGCTGCTGCGAACGTTGGTGTGTGAATATCTGTTTGAATCTCTGCTTTCAGTTCTTTTGAGCATATGCCCAAAGGTAGAATTGCGGCAGAGCTATGTAGTTTTGAAAAGACCATGTAGTCCACAAAGCTGAAAAATATTTACTATCTGGCGTTTTGTAGGAAAAAAAAATTGCTTACTACAGGTCTAGGAGATCATTTTGGCAAGGTCAAGTGGGATCAGATTAGGTGGAGCCATTGTTCTCAGCAAGTATATGCTTCAGAACTAGCTGCAGCATTTATAGAAGTATACGTTTGCACCCCATCCTCCAGGAATCCTGACACGTGCCTCTTGTTAGGGAGCCTTGAAATGGCAGCCTAAGAAGTGATGAGCGAAGGTACACATGATCAGAGGAGGCAGACTGGGAGAGAATGGAGGCAAGGAGGCTAGATAGGAGGTTTCTGCAGACAGGTAGACAAGAGGAAATGTGGGCCTGAGTTAGGAGAAGAGCGGGGGAGATGGGCTAGAGGGCCTGGGGACTAGGCTGCAAAACAGGGGAGACAAGAAGTCAAAGACGTCTGAAGTCTGGGGCTCTGTGATGGTGGTGGTAGTTTGTCGTGTTGGGGTATGTTCTTTCATTCCAAATGTGCCATATTTGAGAGTCTTTCTCAGTGCTGTCCTTTATGCTCATTGCAGGTGGAAAGGAAGCGCCACATTGGAAACGATATTGTCACCATCGTGTTCCAGGAAGGAGAGGAATCTTCTCCTGCCTTTAAGCCTTCCATGATCCGTTCCCATTTTACACGTATCCGGGGCCATTGTCAGTGCTCCAGGTTAGCAAGCTATTGGTTGGCCTCATTGGACTTCAAATGACCCTTAAACCAGATGTTATAACTGATTTGTTTTGCATTCCTAGATTCTTAGACCTACTGTTTTGGATTTTTTTCCTAAGCATTCTATTTTTCCCTCTTCTTCTCTCCAACCATTGCAGTAGCAGATGGATGAGTTCTCAGAGAATTCTCAACTCCTGAAATACATTCCCTTTCCTCAGATAGTTTATGAAATGAGGGAAACTTACTGCCATCCATCAGTAATAAGTGATTTAGAAGAATTATAGGTAGTGAATCCTCTGAGAAATTTGCTTTAGGTATAAAAACATAAAAGTTAAAATAAAAGACCAAAATGATTTTTTTGTTGATTCTAAGCCCTGGTAAAATTAAATAACTACTGTATTATCATCTCTTGAAATTTGAGAAATGATTGAATTAATAGTATTTTTTATCTGCTTCTTCTAAACCCTGTTCAGCTCATATCACTGGCAAAGTCCAGTGATGGAGCTGAAGTTCTCTGTGGTACCTGAGCTCAGCTCTGCCAGAGAGGCATGGGGTGTGAGCTTGGCCAGCCCAGCAGACACTCAGTCATGGCCCTGGTGCTCTGGGTCATGGGCCGTGACAGTGAAACCCAAAGGTGGTGGCTCTTCAGGTTGTACATCGTAAGTAAAAGGCAACAAATAGGCATTTTCAGAATAAATTCTGGTCTAGTTATTCATGTTCCCTGGAGATGTCAGTAAACATGTTTGAAGACAGGACCATTATTACAGACAGTATTATTGCATCTGGATACTTAGATTTATTCCTTATTTGTTCCTTATAACCTAACAATATAGCATGGAAATGAAAAGTTGAAAATTTCCGAATTTCTTCCTTGTGGGTAGAGAAGAAAATGATATGTACCTACACGTTCATTATGATTTTCTTCGTTCTCATCCCTGCCTAGTAAGTAATGACTTCCCCTGTTCACTGGGATCTAGGACTAATATTTCCCCCGTCTGGAGCTAGTTCTTCTTGGATAACAGAAAACTTCTCCAAGTACAGAGCAGGAGGGGAACTGAAGTGACTTTTTCAGTGACCGAGAGGTAGTCATTATTTTTTAGAACTTTTCTGAGTTATAAGTTTTAGATTTGGGGCTTGGCACCTTTGTTTCTAAAAAGGGACAAACAAGTAGTTAACACAGATTCACTCCACTAAGCCTAGATCTGGAGGCACAAGGGCGTGATGGCCTTGTAGCCTGAGCTAAGGAAAGCTGGGGGTGGGAGACTGTGGGTAGAGGTGGGGGGCAGGGAGGAAGAAGAGTGGGAGAAAGAAAGACACTAGATAAAGGTCGTCGTGCTATTTTAGGCTGCGTGAGCCCCAGCACAAGCAAAGTAGATTCTGCTCAGACGCTACCACCAGCTACATTGGCTTGTTTTGTTTTGTGTACCAAAGCCAGGAGGAAAGTGAGGGAAGGTGCACAGTGGAAACATTGAAATTGCTTTCCTTTTCAAGACGTGTGAGATGAAATATATGACTAGTTTCATATTGGGATTGTGTTTGTATTTCCAGACAAGGGAATCGCTCTTTTGCTTTGTTGGCTGCTTCCTTGTTTAATAGCTATATTTGTATTGCTTTTCTGACAGCTTTGGAGATTTAGCCCCTTCCCTAAAGGATGAGCACACGGACTTTGAGCATAGTCATGGTGCCCTTGCACGGGTCTTCCTGGGCTGTGTCTTATAAAGAAGTCAAGGTTCTGTCCAACCTAAGAGCGCTAGGCGTCCTGACCACAAAAGTGCTGGTCAAGAATGATTCTGCCTGAAGGTTTTCAAAGCACAAGTTGTCAGTTGTGAGCATCAGCGTTGTTGATTAATTTCCTTAACCCTCACCACAGATATTTTTGCCTTAGTGAGGTACGACCAACAAAATGACAATTACAGGTAGGTAATGACTTGATCTCACTTGCTTATTCTAATTCTCCTATTTACTTGTTAATTTGACATTGCTTTTATGAGGCTCAACATATATATTTCTCAATTGATTTAATATGTGTGCCCTCACCTTATAGACCTCTCTTGAAGACCACCATCTCTTCAGGAAAAATTTACTCCAGATGGTGTCACTCTGCAGTAGACCCAAGGGTCAGAGTTAGTTTAGTATTTTATTGTACTTTATGATGAGAACAAATTTAATGTTTGATCTTGACCAGAATATCCTCTTTCCTAGACTACATTCTTGCCTGTTTATCCTTCTGTTCTCAAATATTAATCTGTTAAAAGCTGTTGTGGGCCGGGCGCGGTGGTTCACGCCTGTAATCCTAGCACTCTGGGAGGCCGAGGCGGGTGGATCACTCAAGGTCAGGAGTTCGAGACCAGCCTGAGCAAGAGCGAGACCCCGTCTCTACTAAAAAAAATAGAAATAAATGATATGGACAACTAAAAATATATATAGAAAAAATAAGCCGGGCATGGTGGCACATGCCTGTGGTCCCAGCTACTCGGGAGGCTGAGGCAGTAGGATCGCTTGAGCCCAGGAGTTTGAGGTTGCTGTGAGCTAGGATGACACCACGGCACTCTAGCCCGAGCAACAGAGTGAGACTCTGTCTCAAAAAAAAAAAAAGCTGTTATGATGTGGTAAAAAGAGCATGAACTTTGAGCCAAACAGATTTGGGTTCCAATCTCAGCTCTGTCACTTACTAACTTAGAGGCTTTGGAAAAAAGTTTATCCTCTCGGAGCCTCAAGCCTCCTGTGTAGAATGAAGGTAATGGTACTACCCTGGCAGGTTTGGTGAGAGTCAGAGTCAAGCTGTGTCTTAAAACACCAAGTATGTGTCTGATGTGCAGAGGGTGCTCGTCATGGCCACCTCACTTCTTCCTGGGGTACCTGAACTTGTCCATACCTTGGTGAGTTGGACCATGAGGGGTTCAGGAAGACCTAGCCCCTGCCCTAAAGGCACATTACTAAGCTAGAAAGGAGACTGGGGTGGTGGCCTCAGCTCTGGAAGCCCAGAGAAGACACTCCTGCTATGGGATGAATATTCCTAACACATCCCGTAAGTGACTGGACAAATTGAAGGGCAAAATATTAGTGGTCTTTGAAGAAAAACCAATTAATTCTGGAATGTTTTCTACATAGGCTGAAAATATTTTCAGAAGAAAGCGTACCACTCTTTGGCCCACCCTTGCCATCCCCACCGGTGTTTACAGACCACCAGGAATTCAGGGACTTTTTGCTAGTGAAATGTAAGTTCTGTTTTGAAACGTTTTTACAACTTGTTCTACATCGGAATAAATTTCTTCAAATTCTCCCAGGATGCTGTATAAGACAATGTCATTATGTCCATGTTCTGTTAATTCTTTATACAACACGCATTTAGTTTTCTGGGGTTGGTGTACTGGTTTTCTCCTATGTCCTCATCTTCACCTACTATTCTATGCACCTCTCTTGAGATTTCTCCACACTCACCCACTCAGTACCATGGGGCCTTAAATTTGCCTTTCTGCCCTGTATTCTGAGGCTCTGCTTGTACACATCTGTGTCTTTGTCAGAGAGTGAGATGTAGGTAGGGGAAAAAGTGATATTGGATATATACTTAGGGATAGGGAGAGTTGTTGGGGAATGTGTGTGTACATGTGTGTGCACATATGTGTGCATGTGCAAACACATGTGAGAGAGAGACAGGATAAGACTCTGATATATGTAGAACTTGACCACCCCAAGCATCACTAACCGATGAGCACATATTTTAGTTCCACTGGTAATACCCAAATACCTGACTCTGAGCCCCCATCTCCTAAACCACAGGAGCTCTGCCTCAGCCCTCCCCAGGGTATCCCTTGGTATTATATCTGGGAGTCCCATGGTGGGACTGTCTCACTGGTGATCAGGAACAAGTCGCTCGGGTTCATCTGCTCCAGCCTCTTTATGGAGGTTCAGCCTGCCAGCTCCAGGCCCCGGCAGGGGCACTCAGCCTGTGCCCCCTGTGAAGATGCTGCTTTCTAGCCTCCCACCAGGCACTGGGCATCACAGCTGCTTTGCTGGCCGCCTCCCATCCCTGCCTCCTGTCCCCACCCCTGGCCCACATGTACAGTCTTTGCCTAATTCTGTCACTGTTGCGATGTGGCTTTGGAGCATTTGGAAATGCTGCTGTCCTCTGCCGTCACTCATCCTGGTCACCTAGCCCCAAGGTAGCACTGATTGAGTCAAAGCCTTACCAAGTCCCCATGGGTAACTGCTCCTCAGCTTCTAGTCTTAATCCTACTTTAGGATTGGCCCAAACCAGTCCCTCAGGCCAGGGCAAGGGACAGTCCCATGTTGTTGTCCCTCCTTTGTCTTCCTGTCTCCCCAGCATCTCTCCTTCAGAGCCCTGAACACAACTCCTCCCTCAACAACAGCGCAAAGTGTCGTGTGTCTCTACCCCTGCAGTCGACACTCGAAGGGATTCCAATCACCAAAACATCCCCATCTCAGCCGAGCCACTTTAACTTCTCTTCCCTCTGTAAAACCCTCCAGTCCCTTGCAGAGGTCTCCACATGCTTCTAAACCTTTCCTCTGGAGAACAGATGTGAAGGGCACCTTTATTGGGGCTCCCTCTGCTTCCCACCTGGGCCACCAGAGTTGTTACCTCCCACACATACAGCAGAGGCAGCGAACTCTGCAAACCATGTGCAAACTGATGATTTTCTCTCTTCCTTTCCATTGTCTTTACCCCTTACTTCAAATGCTAAAACAAGGTCCCCAACTTAAATGTCTGGAAAGATGGGTGGGGAACATGAATGAGTGAAGTGGGAGGAGTAGGAGACAGCTGAGCGATGGGCACACGTGCCTGCTCCAGCCAGTTGATGCCTTTCAGATCATGGGCCCAGTGTTGCCAGATATTCTGAGTTTTCAAAACAAGCCAGAAAGCTGAAACTCTATGTGAAACTGCCCAAGTCTTAAAACTGTGTGGTCCATATGTTGCAAGTCCAGAGGATCAGTTAGAGAGCAAGAAAACAGATCTGAAACAAAGAGCAGCAACAGAGAGTAGGGTGCTACTCTCTGGAAGCTGAAAGGGTCTTGGCAGCACGGGCTCAGGGCGTGAGCATTCTCTGTAGAGGGCCTGTAGAAGGGAAGGGGCCTGTGACCAAAGATTAGGGATCACTCAGCAACCCTTAGGACCCAGCTCTTAAGTGGAATCCATCCATTTAATTGAAGCCAGTCAACAGAGTGACTTGGAGGGAAGTGAAACAAAGGGACTAAAGTTGAAGATTTGGAAGGTAGAAATAGCAGAAGAACATGGGCTTAAGAAACTGAAGGTGGTGGAGAGAGAGTGTAAGTGGTAGAGCGTGGGCCCCGAAGGGACCCAGAGGGCTTGGTGCCCTGAGCGAATAGGCAGCAGCCGAGGGGTCAGAAGGCTCTGGGAATTCTAAAGTGCATGTAGGAGGAGGGAGGAAATAGGTGAGACAGAAAACTGCAAGATAACAGGAAATGACATTTCAAAAAAAACTTGACCTTTTCCCTTTATTCAGCCAAACAAGACATTTAAAATGGATTTTTCTAAAGTACCAAGGAGCAAATACCCTCAAACAAAGAATTCCCAGTCACAGAATTATAGAAAATAATGGACTTGCATAGTTTAAATTTCGTGAGAGATGTCCTCACACACACACACACACACACACACACACACACACACACACACACACACCCCAGCTTGCCCCAGTACACAGATCCTTTCTAGGAAATGCCTGTCCCCAGGGAGTTCCATTTTTTAGTCTATGAACATTGTCCTTGCGTTAGCCCCCTGTATAAGAAATATAATAGTTAATGTTTATTTAATATTATTAGCACTGTGCTAATTCTTTATATGTATTATCTCATTTATATTACAACACTCTTATAAGGAAATATGGTTATATCCATTTTTACAAGGTAGAAAACTGAGGCCCCAAGAAGTGAAATAATTTTCTTCAGAGTACATAGGGGACAGCAGAGCTGGGAGCCACATCCGTAACTGTCTTGACTTCAAACTCCTAACCTCTGTTGCACACTTCCTGTTCTGTGCTTTCGTGTATAACTGGACATTCCATTTTATTGGCTCTTAGTGTCTGCAGTCCACTAAAACCACCACTCTTTTCCAGAAGCACCTTCCATTAGGCTAAGAATCCTAGTACTCTGCTAAGACAGAAAATTGTTATTTTTTCTAGCAAAATGCAGAAAATATGTATTTAATTCCATTGAGTGGCCTCCACGAGGTGGTTTGGCCTCGTGTGTTGGCTGGGTAGGTAGGTGGATGAATGGGTGGTGGATGGGAGGAATGGGTGGGTGGATGGGTGGGTGTAAAGCTAAGAAGGTCTTTAGGTAAAATGAGAAGCTTGCAGCCCAACAAGAAAGGTAAGATAGTTGTTCCTATGGACTATATGGATCTGTATAGTGAAATCTAGAGTTTTTAAGCATTCTCCTATGAAGGAAAGGTAACACCAGTGACAGTACCAGTATTGGAAAGGTGGGTGGCATTCACTGTGAGGCATTTCCTTGAGAAGAACATTCTTCAATAGCTGTTAATGTTGTACTTCCCTTTTTAACTTGGTTTGTTTTAGTAATTAATGGTGAAAAAGCCACTTTGGAAACCCCAACATTTGCCCAGAAACGTCGGCGTACGCTGGATATGTTGATTCGATCTTTATACCAGGATTTGATGCCGGATTTGCATAAGGTAACTCTGGGTCCATGGTCTTCTTCCCTTCTCGTGGGGCCTGAGTTAAGGACACAAGTCCTAGCAATGAGATCCTGGGTAGAAAAGCGCAGGAATCACCTTGATCTTTCATCAGGACTGTGCTGTGGCCACTATAAGCTGGTATTCTCTCATTGTGACCACAAGAAGGGGGGACGTTGGGTTTCCATATATTGGAATGTGATTTTCATAAAGCCGGGGCCTGTGGAAATCGAGGTGGAGGTGGGGGCGGGGCAATGAGTGTCAATCAGGAATCCCTGGAGAGCTTTTTTGGGTCACTGTCCTTGGTGATACAGCCAGTGCCATGGCTGGTAGGTAGGCAAAAATGGGGATTGTGGAGGGAGATGGGGTGTTTATTTAAATTTTCTGGAGATTTACTGGCTAGCCCCACATTCAGGCACTGACTCAAGCATTTTTATTAACTGAAAACCCACTTTGTGCCAGACATTTCCTAGACCCAAGGCATATCCACACTGATGACACCCAGCACTTTCCTGTCACCTCCGGGGGTGCATGTGCCCTTTGGAGTCCTCCAGACTCAGTGTTGTTAATGCAGAGTAAAAGCATTGTTCAGAAACATTTTCCAATTTAACAAGGAAACACAGAATAAGTGGGGAGACTCCTCTGGAGTCGTAAACCCCAGTAAAAGTAATTGCTAATGATGTGTGTAAATAATTGGAGCATCAGGTGTCAGGTGCTCGCCCAGAGGAGATGTAGAGTATCAAAATGAGGTAGTGCTCATTGGTCCTTTCCCCTTGGCACAGTGACCGGCACCATTTTGTAGGCACCCCTTAACTTCTGACTCATCAGTGCACCCTAACCTCTTGCAGGGATTGGGCCACGCTAACCCCAGGACCCTAAAGAGCAAACCTTATTTGGTAATCTGTTTTTCCCTAAGGTCAAGGAAGGGTATAGAGAGGGTACCAAGATGAGTAATGGTGTCCTTCAGGTGTCAGCTAAAGCATCACTGCCTTAGCCAGGCTTCCCCAGCACCCCCTAGTTGAAGGCAGGTCCCCTGTTAAATGTTCTGATAGACCCCACACAGATCTGCTATGAAGATCACACCCTTCATAGCAGTGATCACATGTGCTAATCATGTCATTAGTTACTTAATCTGTCTCCCTGCTAGACTCTCTGCTCCACAAGGACGGAGACTACTATCACATTCCCAAAATCTGGCAGAGTAGGAGGTGCTCAGTCAGTACTTTCTGACTGAATGAGTGCACCCCATTCTCTGACTGTGCTTTGGAAGAGAAATAACATTTACTGAGTGTGCACCAAGCACTATGCTAAGCACCTTACATGCATTATATTGTTTAAGCCCCAAAACACACCTAGGAGACAGGTATTAAGCACACAAAGACCTGAGACTCAGAAATTAACTAACTTGCCCAAGGTAACCCACAGGGCCACAGAATTGCACAACTCTAGGGGCGCCATTCTCATAGAATTCGGTATGTGTGTTCCGGAGTGTACCACTCTATGACTCCTGGCGCTGTGCAGTGCGGGGGCCCAAATCACACTGTCAGTAAGTTGGTAAGTGATGGAGCTGCAGGTCTGCTGGGTTTCAAAGCCACGTTCCCAGCATCACGCAGGGCTGGCCCTCCACCCGTTGGCTCTAATCCCTGGTGTTTGGCACGGACCCTGGCACGTGCCAGGTGCTCCATCAGTGCTTATTGAATGAACAAATACAGGAGGGAGAAACAGGACCATTTGGACAAATAGGTTTGTGCATTAAGAGAAGCCAAAGGATAAGACTTAACAACCATTTGTGGAATTCATAACTTGTTTTTCTTTTTTAGAACATGCTTAATAGACGATCTTTTAGTGATGTCTTACCGGAGTCACCCAAGTCAGCACGGAAGAAAGAGGAGGCCCGCCAGGCAGAGTTTGTTAGAATAGGGCAGGTGGGTTTTATTCTGAAACCTTTTCTGCAAGACATGTAGTTTTGAGTCCCATCCAAACCAGATGGCCCACGTGCAAAGACTTTTATGTTTGCTGTAGGAGCTCTTTAATTTCCCTTAGGATTGTCGTGGAAACCATGAGTGAGAGTTTTGAGAACTGGATAGGTGCAGTTCCCCGCAGGTGTCGCTGAGAGAGCAGCACTCTGCGGAGATGGGAATGCTACTGCCTTGAAGCAAGTGGCCACAGGGCCCAGCTCTGGGCTCCTTTTGTCAAGGGAGCACAGACCACTTGCCTGCCTCCTAGGAATTTTCTGAAGAGTGGGGAGCCAATTTGGGAAATGCACCTTGAACCCATCCCTGGCAGGAGGAAGCACAGAGTGGCTGTGGCACTCACAGAAGACCTGAAGTGCCACCCTGTTACTGGGAGTAGACATCACAGTTAGGTGGCAGTCAGTTATCCCCTTATTCCAGGTGTTGGAGGAAAACACTCTCCCTTTGCCTCACTCCCACATGACACTAGTATTTCTCAGTTCCAGCAGGCAAAGCAACTGTCTGCCTTGATCCCACATCACAGCAGGGGGAAGGGGGAGTGCTATCAGCTGCCGATAAGATTCTGGTCCGAAAGTAGACCAGGTGGAGGGAGGAAGGCCATGCAGTCAAGGGGAGCTTAGAGGCAGAGATAGCTTTTTCCCAAAACAGGTGCGTTACTATGGGGCTCTCAAACATTGGTCCTTGTTTAAAGATACCCAGACTCTACTCCCAGAGATTCTGATTCACCAGGTTTGAGGAGGGACCTAGGAATCTGTATTTTTTAATGCTCCCAGTTTAGGAATCATGATAATGATATATTGATACATTAAAATGACAGGGTGCATTTGGGATAGTTTGGGCTGGGACATTGTTATTAGGGCTTCACCATATCTGACTAACTTCATTCCTTACCTTCAATAATAAGTCAGTAAAGAAACCTGAAATTTAGTCTGAAATTACTCCTGCTTTATTAAATTTTTTTTTAAATCGCAATTGTTTACCCTGCTATTCTTACTGCTCAGTAATGAACTTTAATAGAGATCTCTGTTCTGCAAGGCACTAAAACTGAAATCCATTGTGAGAGGTGATGCTCCATCAAGCTTGGCAGCTTCAGGGATCTGTAAAAAAGAGGTGAGTTGATGATACTTTCAAATTGAACTGTAAATGTCCTTTGTCCTCAATGAAATTATTGAGATTCTTGGAAAAAGCTTTGTGGGCAGAAGGAAGAAGAGCTTGTCTACTGCATAGTCCTCAGGGGAAGCCCCAGATAAGGTTGAGTGGCCTTGGTATTTCCACAGAATGCACATGCCTTTGCCTGCTTATCGAGCGGAGCTGCTGGACCAGGCCTGGTCAGGCAGGCTTGGTCCCTTGGGGCCTCTCAAGCTTCAAGTGCGTACATATCACCTGGACATCTTGACCAGCAGAAATATAAAGATGCATTTCTGATCCGTTGGCACTGGGGTGGGGTCTGGAGTCTAGCTGCTAACACGCTTGTATGTGATTCCTGTGCTGCTGACCACAGACATACTTTAAACAGCAAGGCTCTAGAGCAGTGTTTCTCAAGCGTTGGTGAGTGTTGGAGTCACCCCACAGAGTTTCTGATTCAGTAGGTCTGGGAGATGCGGCCCAAAAGTTTGCATTTCTAACAGTTTCCCAGGTGATGGTGAGACTATGGGTCAGAGGACCACAGCTGAGAAACCACTGCTTAATCTACAGTTCACTCAGCCAGCCAAGAAATGTGGCCTATCTCTCTATAATACTTCTTGTTTCTACTTTCCATGGGAAAAAAAACTAGGTGATAATCAAGATTAGAACAGAAAAAAATGAACAAGTTGCAGTATGAACTTGTTATATGCATGATTTTGTATTGTAAAACCATACCCCACGTACTTAATTACGTCTACGTTCAGAATATGTTAAAGTTAGTTAAGTGGAACAGATTCACAAATAGCACATCACCAGAGAAGTGTTCACTATAGAAGCAAAAGAATTATGAATACATTTACTTTAGTGATAAAGACATAGACAATGTGAGCCTACATGCTTTAACGTCTGGTTTCAGGAAAATGATGGGCTCAAAATACAATTAACCCTAAAACCACAACCAACTTAAGACTGTTGGCAAAGCATCCTTTCCAAAGGTTTTAGAAATTCCCACTGTCTGCTGATTCCTGTGCACAGTAGGAATTTGCAGTGTTTCCAAGCACTTTAGAAATACCAGATTCCAGTAAGATTTAATAAGGTTCTTAATAAGAAGTTCTTAGGTGTACATTTAAAAACAACAGCCTGTGGAACCATAACCTGTTCACTGGGAAACAACAAAGAGCAAGCTTCCCTGTTGGGTCATTCCATCACCCGCCAGTGGACCATGGTCCACACATGGAGAAACACTGCTCTAGAAGACGCCAAGGGCTGTTGTGCAGTTGGCCCTGCAAAGGCCAGAGTCCCACATGCTGTTCGCAAGAGTGTTCTGTTTCCAAAGAACTGGGCTTTGTCACCCCATTGCCATCCATCATTTATTCGGAAGAGCTGTGTTGATGCTGTTAGAGGGAGCCCAGAAGAGTCTGTGCTTGGGCAGGAAGGCCTGGAAACCATATTCTTGCCCTGCGGAATCTGCACTAAGCCTCTCACATGGCAAAGAGGGGTCTAGGGCAATGGCAAACACCATTGGCCTCAGACCAGAGCCTGTGTGGGGCCAGATCTGAGTTCATTGCTGACACTTCTCACCCCAATGTTCAGTAGTTCCTCAGACCCACATACTTACCAGCACCTCTGAGAGCCCATGAGAGCAATGGACACCTTCACACACACCAGCCCATTAAAATGTTCAAATGGCACATACACACAGCATTTTGAATACAATTCCTGGGGTTTCACAGACCTCCTTAAGCCTCCATGGATCCTCTATTGCCTTTGGATCTTCTAGGGGAAGAAGTCCTTTCTGCACTGGTTTTCCCAACTTGTATCCTCTGGTCAGAGAACATATTAAGAGTTGGTTTTCTGTCTTGGTCCTACCTGATGCCCATGTCTACGTCTGTCTCCCTACTGATGTTTATGTTAGCTTTGCTTTTTAATATCCTCTTGGCATAACTCACAAACTCAGAATTGCCAGAAATCTTCTTGGGGAAATGCTGTTTCAGTTAATGGCCTGCACTCGTGTAGCCCTTTTTTGGTTTATAAAATGTTTTCACCTCTTTAGGTGATCTTTTCAGAACAGTACAAGTACAATCTAAGTTAGAATATTCTTCTTGAGGCTTGTGGGTTTCCTCAAGGGAGAGTACAGTTTTCTTTTCTAATACAGCAATAATGCACACAGCATTTACCCTCAACCCTGATGACACCTCAAAGGTGGTCCACAGAGCCTTTCACGTCTACTGTGAGTATGCGTGTGTCTTCATGGGTACCTACGAACATGCACACATGTGCACACACGGACTCCTTTGCAAACCCGGGTGGGACACATCAGGCCCTTATGTCTTATTGAGAGTAAAAGTGAAGGTGTAAGATGTCCATGTGTCCCCGAGAATCTCTACAAACTTCCTTTGTCCTATAAGGCTAAGCCAGGTACTTTGGAGGGAAGTTAATGATCCTGTTGAAAATGTCCACAATTCTGGTGTGACTAAGATCCCAGCAAACAATGCCTGCTGACTCCGCGCACCCGCACACAGCTGTGAGGGAGAGCTCATTCTTTATGCCTGAAATGAAAATGAAACCAAGACTCAAGGGAGAGTTCACGTGGTGTCGATATGTCACGCGGGAGAACCTGGCAGTTTTGTTGGCATCTCTTGCCATTCTACAAACAGATGTTATATTTTCTTTAAGATTTTATAGCTGTGTGTGGGTCGATAAGCATTTTCATGTTAAGGCAATAGCAACCTCTTAATGCATTGTATCCGATTTAATAATTTGCTGAATCAGCAACACAGGAATCTGACTTTTTAATAGAATTATGTGGGACTTCCTTTCATGATTAACTAATGTAAATTCTCTAAAAAATAGGCACCATTCGGCTCAACTCCCAGGTGTTAAAGAAAAATGTTTGCTTAAAAAGCATTACCAATGCTTCAATTACCCCTGAGGAACATTATCATAGAGACAGGTTGTGGTGCCAGAAACATGTGAATTCACTCTTTTTCTATTGCAAATGTATTTGAAAGGAGACTTTTCTTCTTAAGAAAGGTAACTGAATCCAGACCCCAGGGTTTGGAGTCACTCTGCTCCCACGGGGGTATCTGTGTTTCTGCTTCACGTGTGGTACTGTACATTTCCGTTTGATGGGCCGCAGTGTATTTTTTCTGGTGCACTTATTTTCCGATGCTTGTATTGCCTCGCAGCCTTGGGAGCCCCAGTGTTTCTGCAGTAATTTCCCTCACGAAGCCGTGTGTGCAGATCCCTGGGGCCAGGCCTTGCTGGTTTCCACTGATGCTGGCGTCTTGCTAGTGGATGGTTAGTGAGTAGCTGCTCCTACAAATGTCTCTTTTATGTAACATGTAGTACTTCTAAGATGAGTAATTGCCAGTCAACTCCCTTTGGACCATACATGTGTGGTCTGCAGAGAGGTTAGCAAAGTTCCATTTCCTTACAAGATTAAACTCTTGTTTTCAGGGCAAGCAGGAGAAATATATTCTGAACCAAGCATGCTGGAGGGTGGCCCATAGGCTCATCTCTTCCTGAAATCTCTGATTAGTCTGTGGATATCAAAAGACCTGCAAAAACAATCTTTTATCTCCTTTCCCACTGATACTTACCATGGTTCTAGCATTTTACTTTAAATCAACAAGGATACATTATTTAGAGCCACCATCTCAGGAACATGTTCTCTCTTGGAGTCTTTAAAAAAAAAAAATTCTGATTCAAAAAGTACTTGGTATCCAAAACAAATGAAAAGAATCTTAGATAACCCATTTTTGATGGATATAGAAACAAAAAGATTTTGACAGGAAGACAGATTTCAACTCAGTATAAAATCACAGTTTCTGACAGCCAAGTAGCTCGGGCTGCCTGGGGAGGAAGTCAGTTCTCTGTCAGCACAGATCAGCCACCATTGGCTGTGCCCTTGCTGAGGATGCTGCAGAGGGAGTGCAGCTCCAGATGGGGAGTCGCACTCCAGGACTGTGTGGTCCCTTCCAGCAGGAGGCCCCTTGGATTGTTCCATACTCCTAATGAATGGCAAAGGAGCTAAACACCGGTAGCAGGTCATTTCCTGGGGCTTCAGAGGGAGCCATAGGCACAGAGACAGTGTCTTCAAAGGGCACATCCTTGGATGCACAGAAGCAGCTGCCCAGTGTCTGGTTACCATACTGACATTTTATGAGCATCCTAAAGCCACCATTGTGAGAATGACAATAATGGCCTAAAACTGCAGCATCTTCCCACCCTTCAGCACAACCTTTCCTCCCTCCCTCAGACCCTTACTCAGAGCATTTACTAAGTGCCTGCTGTGTGCCGGGACCTGTGCTAGGGGCCTTCTAAATGTGACTAGAGAAGTGAGCCATGCTTTATAATGGATCCGTTTCTGACCGTATCTGTTATTTATGTGTTTTAATTGTGTGCCCATGATATCATTGTATCTATAACTAACTTAATAAAAGCCAGATAATTTAAAATTCATAAATTCAGAATTTGAATTAAATACTTACTTGTCAAAACTACAAAACAACTAGAAACTCTGTGTGATCTTGAAGAAAATTCAACCTCTCTGAGCCTTGGCTTTCTCTAAAGTGAAGGTAATTTTTTAAGAGGCTGAAAAATAGTTTATGACAATGAAAAATGGTGAAATACAATGGGGATCGTGACCATAACTACAAGGAGAGGATCATAGGGATTAAATATAGTTACCTGTCTTAAACGTTTACGCAGCGTCTGGCTCACAGTGGTAACTTACTAAACAGCAGCTATTATCTTTACTGTGTCCCTCTAAACTTGCTAAAAAGTAACAAAATCCTTAGATTTTACCAGAAGTGCAACCAAAGAAATGAATTTATTTAAAAAAAAATAATAAAACAGACCTTAGAGGCTGTTGGTTTTACAGATGAAGAAACTGAGGCCTGAAGAAATGATGAGACTTGCCTAAGATCACAGAGCTGGCTATTGACACATCTGGAACTAGAACCCAGATGTGATTCTAGTCCAGTGCTCTTTCCACTAAACCAAGTATAGTATGTTAAAATTAAATTAAATTCTACCAGTGTTTTTATCTTTACCTTAACACAGATTTCCAAAAATATAGTCCTGGGCAAATAATTATGAAAAATATTGTGATTAAAAGAATATTAAATGCTTCCCATTTGCCTTTTTAGGAAAGAGAAAGCATGCTTCATAGTGACTATTTGTAAGCTTGCCTAAAAGCAAAAAAATTCCATTTGAATTGCTTTTATTTTTTTAATGTAAAATCCAAGCCAAGCTTACCTAGTCCTTTTCTGAAATTTTTATCTTTATGGGTCCAAAATTTAATGGAAGTGTGAGATATAAGGATTATTTTGATTTGCCAGGAAATTCTTCTCTTCCAAATTTGAGGGAAGTCATCTTCCATGGGTGGTAGCTGTGTACACCCACCACCAACTTAGATTTATTACTCAGATTATTTTTTTGGTGTCCTGATTACAATGATGCTCCCTATTTGTTTTTGCTAAAAAGGAGAATAACTCTTAAGGCTTTCTTTGTATTCCTTGTTGTGCTTTTAAGCCATAATTCCCTTTTTATTTCTTTGTTTACCTTTTTCTTATCTATACTTAATCATATTATGAATTGTTTCCATGAGTGAATCTGTCCATTTTGTTCCAGGCTGAATTCCAACTCTAGTCCATTAGCCTTTGCTTAATTTTATTAGACTTACCCTTGACAGTCTACTGCTTTCAAAGTCATTATTAAAAATCAATACCTTTTGTATTCTAAGTTAGCAAAACCTACTTTGAAAGAAGACTAAATACTGATTACATATGCTATCACCATATGTTTGGGTTTTGCAGTGATAAAATCCGGTTCTAAAAGATTGTTTCTTAATAAAGAGATTACAAGAAGGAAAAATTTGTTATCAAACTGTCATTAAAGCCACATGTCACTCTCATGTCCTTGCCACCTCTTTCTTCTTGTGCTGTATATAAACCTATTCAGCCACCTGAGAAGGATTTGATAGAGAATAAATGATAATTTGCTCTGTACACAGCTTGGCAGTACACAGTATACCTGTGTTTTCAAGGCAAAATGAAGGGCCTCTGTCATTTATTAATGCCTTACAGTGCTGCTGCTTCCGTGGTCCCAGCACCCATCCACGGGGAAGCAGTGCTGCTTTTAGGCTATACCACTAATGAAGAGTATGGCTTTGTCCTTTGCACAGACTTGGGCTCCACATGCTCGAGGTGTGACCTCAGACAAGTTACTAACACCCCTGTGCCTCAGGTTCCTCATTTGTTAAATGGGAATGTTACAAGTTCCTACCTAATAGGGTCATTGGGACATCTAAATTAAACAACACGTGAAATGCTAAGCATTATGGTCTGGCATGTAGTGAGCCTTTAGTGTGTGTCATCCGCCATTGCAGCTACTGCTATTATCCTACTAAAGGAAGTAATAGTAGTTATTTAGCCAAATATGATGACGGGTATTAGAGTGCTCATCCTATGTTTTGAAAATTAAGTCTGCCCCAGCAGAGGTACAGAGACAGTGAGAATGAATTCCTCTTTGTGAAGCTCTGGGGTAGAGGAGGAAGGAAAGTGGTTGATGAGCTGTCATAAAATTTACATTTGCCCACATAATTAAGAGGAATAAGAGACAAATCCTACATCTAATATGAGTTTAGCAATCTCTGTGCTCTGACAAATGAAGGCCCTACAGACCTGCAGGAGCAGGAGATCCCTCCCCACTGGAGGGTGGTGGTTAATCCTGATGGTAAAAGCTCTGCTCCATCCTGGGCACCATCCAAGGAGGATGAACTCCCAGCTACAGTTAGATTTCTGGAAGATCCTTGCTGGAGGCAAGATCCTTGGGGTCCCTTGCAGCTAAATTATAAATACACAAACCCAACCCCACAGCAGAGCACTAGAAGACTAAATGCAGATGAGGAATAAGCAAGCCGCTTCTCCTGCCTTGAATGTCTACACCATCCCAGACATCTCTGCCTTGCCCTGATTCTACATCAAGCTTAGAACAGACCCTTCTACTTATGGAACAGCCTTTATAATCCTTTTTTAGGCCCTTATGTCTTAGGGTCCCCCAGGAGCAAAGTAATGTTAGCAATTTGAGATCTCAGTAAGTAACCTCAAAAACAAATCCTCGGTGTACCTGCAATATCTTTGATCATCCATTTACCTAAAATCTTCCTGAGCGTTTCCACTTAAATTATTTTTTTCCTGCTATTTAGGCAATTTAATTGATACTTCTTTTTACTTACTTTTGTCTAAAAAGGAAACTTCATATTCCTATATAGTGAAATATTGAAAACTTTTGGTCAAAATATAATGATACAGACACAAGGCATGTTAGCATAGGGTGTGTCTGTTTTTATTTTAAATATAAAAGAAAATTTTAATTTGCTTTCTTGAGAAATATGCAATATGACCTAATATATGAGGCAATTTCAAATATTACATAAAAATAAGAAAAGACTTGAGAGAAATGGCTGCTCTTATTCTTTTTTTTTTTTTTAACTTGGTGTTCAGTCCTTTGGTACAATCCCAATAAACATTGGTATTGATTGATGTTGCTTTTTCTTTGATGAACACTGAGGAGAATATAGTTTTCATGCCTCTGCTACTGTGCCCCCTGTATAGAGCTTGGAATGCCTCTGGGAAGGAAATAGCAGTACTTCTCCCTGAGCTAGGGGGAGAATGGTGCTTGGACTTACTGTGTAGGCCTTATGAAATCTCTGGAAGCTGACTTCCTTCCTTGCCTAAGAGAACTGGGGTCCAAAACTACCCACAGGCATGTTTCATAGGTTCTAGAAAGCATGGGCTGGGTTGCAACCATAGGTAACCAGGTTTCCTTTTCCAGATGACCTTCCGTCAGTGCCCGTGTTTGACAGAACACTGCCAGTGAAGCAGATGCATGTGCTCGAGACTCTGGACCTTCTGGTTCTCAGAGCAGACAAAGGTGGTACCCCTGCTGGGTGGCATGATCTAGAAGAAGGAAAGCAGGCGCCTTCTGTGGCCCACACCATGGGTCTCCTGGACTGACTCCATAGGCCATGCCAGCTGTTTCTTTTACTTTTCCTGATGCCCAGTGCTCGGGGTCCCTTGGTGGCCCCTTTGTTCTTTGGGGAGGGAACCAGTGGTGGCGGTGGGGGTGGGGGGCATGCAGGTGCATCCGTAATTGCATTGTTAGGTAAAAGTGGTGTAGGTGTCTCCCAAATTCCGGAACACAGTCAACCCTAGTTTCCTACACAGTCTGCTCTTGGAACTCCTCCAGGTCATTTTACTTTTTCATTTAATCCTCTCCTCCTTGTTTATGTCACCAGGAAAAGATGCCCGCCTCTTTGTCTTCAGGTTGAGTGCTCTGCAAAAGGGCCTGGAGGGGAAACAGGCTGGGAAAGGCAGATCTGACTGCAGGGAAAACAAGCTGGAGAAAACAAAAGGTGACTTGAGTCTTCGTATGTTGCTGGATTCCAATCAATTAATTTTTTTTCTCACACTGCCTGGGTTTTACTGAAAATAAAAATGAGTAGGAATTTTATCTTAGTGGTTTATTTTTTGCTTGGAAACATCACAAAGATAGCATCACAGTTTCTGTAAGGAGCTTGAAAGATAGAAAAACATGTTGAGGACTAGAAGAAATTCTAGACCTTTCCTAACAGGTTTTGGAGGTAAGTTAAGCTCCATTAGCAAATCTGTGAGTAAAGAAATGTTTAGACTCTGGTGCCTGGAGCTCCGATCACTCTTTACTTTAATTCGCATCATGTAGTAGATATGAAGCTAAGTCCCCAACCCCTAGAGTACAGGGAAGATGACTTTCGTCATTTTCCTGTGACTCAACCTAATTTTTATGTCAAGTCTCCATTTTGCCTGGTGGCAGAAACATTCTTAGTCCATTCACTGCATTATGCTTAATTTCCCCCTGGAAACTTGCCCAAGTGTCAAGGAGAGGGGTTTCCCAACTCGCTTGTCACGTGTGGAGCATCATTGCTTTCTCGTCCCAGGCTGCCACCTGTATGCGATTAACACTCACCACAGCAGAGAACTGAGGATTGTGGTTGCAATTCGGAATAAACTGCTTCTGATCACAAGGAAACACAACAAGCCAAGTGGAGGAACCAGCATCTCATTGTTGTCTCCTGTGTCAGAGTCACCTGTTGAAGAATTCCAGTACATCAGGGTAGGTTTTCTCTTCAAATCACTCATCTCCCAGCCAAAGTGTTACGAGGCAGACTCTCTCCTTCCATCCAGAGTCTGTCATCCACTGAGGTTGTCCCACCATTCAGTAACCAGCTAGGGACACCCTCCCCTCCAGGACCCTGGTTTCCCCAGAAGACTAAGGCAAAAGCTCATTCATTCCAATGAACACCTGTAGTTGCTGTTCTAGGTATGAAGGACACAGCAGTGAACAAAACAAATTCTTCTCATGGAGATTGTTTTCTAGTTGAAGGATAACAGAAATAAGCAGATAAATCTATGATGGTTGGCAGAAAGTAGTGAGAGTAAAAATAAAGTAGGGCCGGGGAACAGAGGGTAATGTAACAGGGAGTTGGGAGATATGTTGTAGAAGGGAAGTTCCAGCAGGCCCTCTCTGAATGGTTACCTTTGAGCAGAGACCCAGAAAGTATAGGAGGGAATGAGGGTGTCTGGGGAAAGGACATTCCACGCAGGAGCTGCCCCGCAAGGGCCTTGAGGCCCCAAGAAGGAGCTGTCAGGAAGGTGAGAGAGAACTGGGACCATATTCTCTTGAGCCCAGAGGCCATTGCAAGCACTTTGGCTTTGACTCTTGAGTGAGGTGGGAAACCACTGGAAGATGTGAAGCAGAGAAGTACCATGTTTTGAAAAGACTGCTCTGGCTACCAGGCTACCAGGCAGAGGAGAGTGCAAGGGCCAAGGGTGGAGACAGGAGGCTGCTGAGAGGCCTAGTGCAGGATCCTGGCAAGAAGTGATGGTAGCTTCGGTGGCTGGCGAGGTGGGAGGAAGTGGTGGGGCAGCGCTGCCCTGCTTGCCTTAGTCAGCGGGGGCTGCTGGTAGATTGGGGGGCCTTGTGAGCGAGGCCTCCAGGTTGAGTTCCCACCACAGACTAGTGTGTTAAGGTGCGGGATATGTCAGACATCAGCCACTAAGATGGAGTTTTTCCATTGGTGAGCTGAGAAACTACTTTTGCCTACAGTCAAAGCCTCCTGTATTATGCATATCCATTTCTGCCAATATTCAACTTAAGGGGACAGAGCAGCATGCCAGTTAAGTTAATGCCAGTAAAAAATCTTGCTCTAATTAGGTGGTAGCCTTCTTCATATAGTGATTAGCAATTTTAATGAATATATTTACATGCAGCATATACAGTTATGTAGTATGAACTCTGAAATCAGATTTCCTGAGTGCAAATCTTGGCTCTACTCTGTATAAACTTTGTGACTGTAGGCAAGTCACGTGACCTTGAGCCTCAGTTTCCTCAGGTAGAACAACAGCCATACCTACTTTATGAGGTTGTTATGAGGATTCAATGAGAGCCGTGCCTGGTATGTGTTAAGTGCTCAACAAGGTTAGTTAGCAATTGTTAGTACTGTTACTAAGTCCCAGGACAACACCCGACAATGGGAAGGCTAAAGTGGACCATACCGTTGAATCGGTTTTGTAAAATTGTTTCCTGGCCTCTACCTGTTCCAGTGAACAGAGGTGTGAGTCTTGAGGACAGGTTATGGGAGAGAGGAGTCTGATGTGAGCCCTGACACTTCCTCTCGTGCCCTTTCTTTCCCTGCAGTATGGGGCTCTGCAGGAACCTGTGGGGAGGGGGCCTGTTCTGAAAGGGGGGTGAGTTGACATGAAGCTGGCTGCTCTGCGCTAACCAGTGTCCTACATCATCATCAACCGCACAGGAGATCTGTCTGTCCGACTCTCCTGCGGTGATGACCTTAGTGGATGGGCCAACTGAAGAGAGTGACAACCTCATCTGTGTGGCTTATCGACACCAATTCGACATGGTGAATGAGAGCACGGGAGAGGCCTTCAGGCTGCACCACGTGGAGGCCAACAGGGTAAGCTGATGGTTGTGGGGACAAGTGGGAATCAGAGAAGATTAATCATTGCATCTTCTAACTTTGGGATGCCATGATTCAGATTTCTTTAAAATTATGTACTATTCATCATATTATTATGTGATACACTATTCAGGCTGAACCATGTGAAGTTGCCATTTTTGTACATCACAATGGTTCTAATAACATGTGACCATCCCATTGCCCTATTCAGCTTTCAGATCTCACCCTGCCACTCCATCCTTTCAAATAAGAGACACGAAGAGTCAAAAAGCTGTCTATAAATAACCAAATAGATGAGAGCATTTGTTAGGTGACTGGTCCTGGGAGGGCGTTTGGAGAGAAAGCTTCCTCTCTGAGGCCCTGCAGACTCTCAGCATGGGTACTAGGTGGATAAGTGGGCCCAGCACCCCTTTCTATCTCCTTGGAAGCCCACTAGAAAGGAGGAAGGGGTAGAACCCCATTAGGGGAGAGAGGGAAAGCGGATCAGCACTTAGGGTCTACACCCCTGGCCTGAGGTGCACAGAAAACAGGATGTCCTGGTTTGGGACAAAATCTAGCACCACCCAAAAATGCACTGAAGCCCTAAAGATGACTGTGCGGAGTCCGAACTTTAGCGCCCACTGGACAGTGGTGAGTATGCACCACCCTGAGGCCTGATGACCTGTCACTGGAGCCTGTTCAACGCTGACAATGACATTAGCAGGTCACGGAGCTCTTCAGTCCCTTTATCTCTGTAAAGCAGGGCAGGGCCTTGGTCTCAGTGAGCTGCTCAAAGTTTGCATAGCACAGTGCCAGCAGCCTTCTGGCTCTGGTACTAAGGACACTGCAGAATGGGAACATCACCCCTCGGGAAAATGTACTTCCTAATGAGGACTTCCAAACCCACGGGCATCCCCCAGTCCTGTTTAGCTAAATCAGTGACACTGCGGCGTTCTTTAAATTCATTCATTAAAATTGCTAACTACTATTTTAGAAAGACTTAATACCTAATTAGAGCAAGATTTTAAGAAACAGAAAAATCTAGATGTAACTAGGAGGCCTTCTTGTCTTCTGCTGTTACTGATCACAGAGTAGTCTATCATTTCTCTTATCTATATTGGTGGTCCCCAAACTTATCTACAATTGGAGCCATTTGAGGAGTTTCGAAGGTGCCAGGGCCTGTGTCCTGCCCCCCAGAGATTTCACGGGTGTGGAATGCGGTGTACATGGGAATGTTTAAATGACCTCAGGTGATTCCAGTGTTCAGCCAAATTGGGAACCCCTGGTGTACTGCCTTGCTGCCCAGCCCTGGCTAGAATCACCTGGAGAGCTTTAAAAAGAGCAGTGTTCTGACCCCACGCCGGATCAATTAAATCAGAATTCAGAGGATGTGGTACTTGAGAACCAACATTATTTAAGTCTCCCCCCACGTGATCCCAATGTAGACCTCACAGGCATCTATCCTGAAACTTCCTACTTTAAAGCTAGAGGAATCCCCCCCACACCCACCTACCCCCCGACCCCCGCCAGCTGCAGATCAGCTGCCTGGGCTTCTTGCCTGGATCTGGAACCCGCTGGCTTCTGAGGACAGGGGCCCAATCTGTCCCTCAACAGTTCTCACTCTTTCTTGCTTCTTAGCACTCTCTGTGTGCGTAGCCAGAGACAGAACAGTCATGGCCCAGCAGGTCTTTGTCCCCCTCAGTCCTTTCCCTGGCAACTAGTTCCTTAAGACTAACCTGCTTTTTGTAGTGGAAAAGTGCTCACCTTGTTTCAGAGAAAGTTTCTGACATGTTCTGGTTTAAAGAAATCATGCTTAAGGGAGTGAAAATTGTACAGTTAACTTACTCATGAGGGTAGCTATAGAGAAAATCATTTTATTAAATTTCTTTCATATGGTAGTTATTATTTACTTAATATCCTGATAATTTATTGGAATGTTTATTTTATTCCTGTGATTAGTAAAGACCCAGGAAAAATTGGGTTAAAAACTAGTTTCTTAGATGACTTCTGTGTTTTATTTGTTTTTCGGATGGCTATAAGGAATGATTCTCAAGCTTTTTGCCTTTTCTTCAATGTGCTTTTTTAAAAACAAAGATACAAAGCTTTTCCCTAAGAGAGAAGAAATTGTTTTGAAAGGGAAAAAAGAAAAAAAAGCCCTTTCCTGCACCCTGGCTCTGAGAGGATCAGCGTGCACAGCCCCTCCTCCTGTCAGTCCGCGGCGGGGGTCTGCTGAGCAGGCTTGAACCTTAGTCAGACACATTCATCTTTGTGAGGAATTTACTGTCTAACTGGGGAGATGAGCCCTAAGGAAATGAGACAGGTCATGAGCAATGTGTTTTCTAATAGCTAGTCAGAAACAGGCCCTGTGGGAACAGGACTAGCTTTTTACCAAAATGCTCCTGCAGCTGGTCACCCAGTGCAGTGGGGCAGGAGAGGGAGATGGAACCAGCCTCAAGTGAACTTTTGTTCACGTTGCACTCGCTGCCGCCTGCTCTGTGTAGGTGCCAGAGTCGATGGGCTTGCCCTGCTTCCCGTTCCCACCCTCTCTCCCCACAGAGCCATCTGATTCCCAGTTCAGGCCTCCACCCCGCCCCAGGTTCTAAGATAATCCTGGCTCAAGAGAGAAAATGTTTAAGAAGCACTACAGCACTGAAAGTCAACGTCAAGTTCCCTTTATGGGCAGGCCTGCTGTGACCTACTGCCCCAGCTCTAGCCACCAGCTGTGGCCTCTTTCCCCAAACCAAGGGCTCCTCTCGAAGGAACTGCAGACATGGTCTCAATATCTGAGTCTCTGGCTCATTCACTGGGCCCAGGTCCCTGTCTTGACTGTCTACCCAGAACCCGGCGGTTCTCGCAGGGCACTGAGCCTGGAGTCACTTGGGAAGGCTGAATGTGGAACCAGCAGTGGCTCCCTCTCTCAGCTGGGGCTGGAGCTGGGGCAGGGGAGGTACCTACCTTACTTGTTACAAGTCTGTGTTTCTATTAATAATTTTCCCAACCACGCTATGTTACTTTTATCATTTTTAAATGCCAGTAAAATGAACTACTTGTTTTTAATTAAAAAATAAAAATCTGACACCTGTGTCCTACCCCAGACCTGTTATATCAGGACTTCTAGGAGTGAGAACCCAGAATATGTATTTTTTTAAAGCTGCCTAGTTGATTCTGTTGTCGTCACCTGGTTAGGAAACAGTGCTGCAGAGTCTGACTCCAGCCAGGATCCTCTCCCAGGGAGGAGACAGGCACCCACATCAAAGCCTGAAGCAGGTCTCCCTGCCGAGTGGTAACGGGTCTGAACACGGTGCTGTGGGGTGCCCCGGGGGAGTGGTTAAGTCCAGTCTGGTCTTCTGTCCCTAAATCCTGACCCTGGGGCTGGAGCTGCCACTGTGTGTCCTGCAGCCTGACTGTGAACACTGCTGCTTCGTGTGCCTGTCAGCACAGCCCTGAAACCCCCAGTAGACTGACTTGATGCCAGGTACTGCCCTGGTGTCACTGTGCACAGACCTGGTCTAGAAGGCTGCCTGAACTTCCTCCACGCTTGTCACCACCATGTCCCTCTCCCACCCCACCCCAGATACACACAGGCCTCATCTCTGAACCAAAGGGCTACCTTTCTCACTACAGTTAACCCTCCCATAATTACAATAAGCACAGCCACCAGGCCCTGTGTCAGAGCATGTCGTAAGCATTGCATCTCAGAATAGTCCCAATAATCTGTGAGGGAGGTCTGCTTCATTTCTCCAATTTTACATAAAAAGAAACTGAGACTCAGGAAGGAGGAGTCACTTATTTTACCCCAGACCACCCAGCTAGTAAGTGGCAGAAGCAGACTGGAGCCCCGGCTGGCTGGCTCCAGAGACCATGCCCTTAAACCCAGCACACTGTTGCTTCCACAGCCAGCGGGGGAGGCAGGCCGGGCCACAGAGCGCGTAGCCCTCGGCTCCTGTCCTCGAGAAGCTCGCAGACTGGCAGAGCAGACACACTCATCCTGCTGCAGCATGAAGCTTCTGGCTGAGGCAGTGAAACAAACTGACCCAGACAGGGACACAGAGGAGGAGGTGATTCTGAGCCAAGGGGTGGGGCCAGGAAGGGGCCCTGCAGGGGTCAGAGAGGACTCGGGGACGTCCCGCATGTTACGTGCCCATTGGTGCTGGCTCCATGGCTAAGCAATAATGTCAGCTAACACTTTCTGAGCAGTTAGCGAGTTCTAGGCCCCACAAGGGTAGTTACTCTCATCTCCCATTTTACAAATGAAGAGACTGAGGTTCTGAGAGGGGAGCAGCGGGCTTATGTGTGCACGCTCTGAAGTGACAGAGCTGGGATTTCATTAATTCAGTCATTCGTCTGGTGTGTTTATTCTGCCCCTGCCACCTGCCAGGCCCTGATCTCGGCACTGAGGGGACAGCACTGAATGGCACACATGGCTGTGTCACAAGCCTAGTGTTCTAGTGGGGAGGGAGCGGCAGGAACAGACAGGTAAGTGCACACCAGGTGGCGGCGCAGGCTACACAGAGACCCTCAAGTATGAGGGCATGACACAGGGCGAGTCTTTCTGATCCCAGAGCCAGAGCTTGTGGCCACTGGTCCTCGCTGTCCCATTCCCTCCAGGGCTCCCACAACTCTTGACTGTGGCATTTGCCCCATTATACCTTGTTTTAGGTACTTGCATCCTTTTCTGATTTTTTTTTTTTTTTTGAGGGGTGGAACCTTACCTTATCCTTTTCTGCATCCTAATGGCACCTAGTACAGTGACAGCTAGTGACATATGGGAGGGGCGGGGTTGCCTCGGAAGGGCCACAGGGGCCCAGGCAGCAGCCCTGGATAAGGGTGGCCAGTTGGAGACTTAGCACAGTGAGGAGAACGTTTAGAGGCAAAGGCACATTCTGGGGATGACAGGAAGAGGAGACAGGGCCTGAGGGAAGAGCACAGGGTGGACCTGGGGCAGGGCTGGGGGAGGCGAGCCAGTAGGAGGCCCTGGCACGGTGTCCTGGGGATGCAAAAAGGACACCCGAGAGATCCTGTGAGGAGGAGGATGCTGGACTTGGGTGAGAGTATGGAGCCCCTGAGACTTTGGGGATAGTTTAGAAAGAAGAAGGTTTACAAGGGAGAACAGCTTTTACTGAGTCCTGGTTATATGCCAGGCCCAACCTAAAATCTCTGCTTTGTCTCATTGAATTCCATTTACTGTCCAGCAAGGGCACTGTCATCATGCCAGATTCTCAGACAAAGACCAGGGCCAGAGGCTAAGCATTTGCCACGCACCACAGAGGCCGCGAGCAGCTCAGGCAGGGCTTGACCTTGGGTCTGTGTGCCCAGCCTGTGCCCCTTCCCACCCCACTGCCTCTGGCTGTCAGTGACGGGATGTGGAATGATGCCCCCTCCCGGGACAAGAGACGTAGATTAGGGGCTGGAGCTCTGGGGAGAGTATGCGCCTGGGCTTATAGATTTGGGGGTTTTGAGCACAAAGCAAAATTTGGAGCATTAAAGTAGGCATTTTTCTAGTGAGAGAAGAGCCAAGAAATGGAAGAATAATCTGACAGGGAGAAGGACAGGAGGTAAGGGACATCACCTGGCAGAGTCTCGGGGGCAGGCAGAGAGGTGAGCTCTTGGGGCCTCCAGCAGGGCGAGGGTGGCTTCCCCAGATGCTTGGGAGACTCTCGGGGCTGGGACACAAGTAAAGAATTGGAAAGAGCAGGAGCTCTTAGAGGGTCGGAGTTTTGAAAATCAGGGAGGACCAAGGATGTCATCAGATCAAGTGCCCTCTCCCAGACGCAAAACCCATGGTTCCAAGAGGTCACAGAGCTAGCTAGGCCTTCTGACACTCCTCCTCTTTGTGCCATGCTGCCTTCTTTAAATGCAGGACAGAGAAAGAGCAGAAGTGGGGACATGCTGTTGGTGATTTTAAGGCTCAAAGACTTGACTAGCTGGAGGCATGAGAGGGCTAAGGTAAGAAGAGAATAGCGCCACGGTTCAGATCGCAGCTGTGCTGCTTACCAGCTGAGGGGCTTCTCTGAGCCTCACTTTTGTCATCTGTAAAATGGGAATAATACCGTCTACATTCCGGGGTTAGTGTGAGAGTGAAATGAATAACCCACGTGAACATGCTTGAGAACCAGAGCACACCGTGTAAACCTGAGGTATTTTAATAGAGAGAATAGAGGTGCTGGATATGGAGCTTCTCAGAGAGTATGAAAAGATGAGGAGAAAGTCCCGGTGGAGAAAGAAAAGAGAGATTTTCTTCTTTCATACCTACGGTATGTTATAATCGTGGCCCCCGACACGGCTGTATGGGTGCTGGTGAGGTAGACGTGACCCCACGCCCCTGCGATTGTGGAGCACCAAGGGCCGCCGCAAATGCTCACAACTTGAGAAAGTCTTTTCGCAGCGCCGTCATCCAGCCTGTGCACTACCATTGCCTGTTACCATTGCAGGTTAATTTTGTTGCAGCTATTGATGTGTACGAAGATGGAGAAGCTGGTCTGCTACTGTGTTACAACTGTAAGTTAAGTTTGTGTTTTTATTTTTATTTGCTAAAATAAACTATTCTTTTTCTGGGTAATTTAAAGGGACTTATCCTTAGATTTACCCGGTGTATCATTCCTGGGTTCATAATTGCACTCCAGCGAGCATCTAAAAAATACCTCCCTGCTTGGATCTCCCACTATGCCCCAGGCCTCTTGGCGACACAGCACAAGAGCTGCCGCCTGTGGCGCTATCTCCAGGATGCAACAGTGATGACAGCAGCTTCCCATTAAGGGATCCTTACCATGTGCCATGTGCTGTGCTTGGTATGTCTCATTTAATTCTCACGGACACCTGCAGCAGGCTCTGTTATTAAACTCGGTTTAGAGATGAGGCAACCGAGGCCTACAGAGGTGAACTACCTCCCTCAAGGTCCACAGCTACTAAGCAGCGTGGCAGCGTTTGCATCTGATACTCTCTTGACTCCAGCACCCACAAATTTAACCACCGCTGTTACTATTCTCCTTTCTGTAATTTCTCACGAAATCAGCCTCAGCCTCACATATCAGCCCTAGTTGGGCTAGTTTGGGCTAGGAGGCAGGGCAGGTGGGCAGACCAAAGGTATCAAAATGGGGTCTTTAAGGATTTTCAGCATTTCAAAAGCTAATACTATGCTTCAATAAAAAGTACTTTTTTAAGGCTAAAAAAGTAAGATATTTTCCTGGATATGTCTTCCCAGTCCAACTAAGACATAAAACATATTTTTCAGCATAGAATTTTACCAATTTAGAGTGGTGATACTGGACCAGATATTCTAATTAATCTTTGATTAATAAATACAGGAAAGCTCATTATCAGGAGAGAAATTTGTTTGGTAAAACATCATCTTTCAAAATTCAAGGTTGATCGAGAGCCTCTTCGACAATAAGTTGCTCTCTTTGGGGATATTTTACTCACAGAGCCGCCAGCCCTCAGAACGATGGGTCTGTAATAGCCACGTGATGAGAAGGACCCCCTTACAAGGAGGCAGGAACAGGCCACTGCTGCCGCTGCTGCCCACTATCCCCAAGTTTACAGGGATAGGGGAGAGTTGGGGAGAGAGGCTACTTGGGGAAGTCATGTCGATAAGATGTTCATCTCTTTCAAGTGTGGTCTTTTTACTCATTGAAAATATCTATGAGAAAAACTTGTGGCAGAATGTTTTAAAACCTGGATTTTTTTTTTTTTTTTTTTTTTGTCCTTAACTGCTTGAAAGGATGGGAAAGCTTGTGGGTGGGAGAGAAGTTAAGAACAGAAAGATAGAGCACATTTTTAGAAGGGGAGAATCCATCCCAAACACAAAAGGAGCATGACTACAAGTGTGGGTGCCACTGGCTCTGTACCAAACTTGCAGTGTGCTGACTGGAACAAGGTGCATTGCTCTCTCGTCCCTGATGCACCAGATAAGCTTCCGTCAGCCTCTCGGTCTCACGGGGTCCTTCTGTAGAAGTCCATTTCCCATGGCTTTGCTCAGGCCCTGGCTTCAGGCTCTGATTCCATCTGGATTGGTGCGTGTGTGTTTTTGTAGATCCACCGCATCCGAAGGTAACTCTGTGTCTTTAGATCCCAAGGTCAAGGCCTTGGCAGTCTCAGAGGTTCCTGGAGCCTCAGTCGTCCCAAACCTTGCCACTTCCTCCCATTTCTTTGGGTTAGGAATCTGGCTTTTGTTTTCTATCTTCCTTTTTCCCAGCAGGTTGGCAGGTACCTGGTGAACAACCCCAAGAGAAGCAGTGCACCCAGATACGTGCATAACTCATTGCCCCTCACACACGCCACACACGGCATTTGCCTGTTTTCTCCCATGTTCTTGTCTGGGGCACAGACGCCTGCACAGTAAAGGCCCTTTCAACAGGTGCTGCGGAATGGTTTTGCTTCCCGCCAAAATTTGAAGCTGATATTTATCATTGAATTCAGTTTCTTTTTATTAAAAAACAAAACGAAATTTCAAATAACTTTATAAACTCAGAGTTTTATATAGGAGAAATTTTTGTGTCAGATATGTTAAAGGTGAACATATTTTATAATGGAGATTGTATGTAACTTCCAGTTACATGTTATTTGAGAAAAAATATATTCACAAGATAAACTTTAGAGGAAAAAATAGTGTAAAGAGTTCAATATGTTGGTATTTTTTAAAAATTAATCTCTATTTTGAATACCAGGGTCAGTCATTAACTGCTTAAAAAGAGAAAGCAAAGAAAACTTGGCTGTGACCTCAGCATCCGGTGATCATTCACCTTTAAAGCAAATAGTATATTTCAGTGCTAAGGGTGAACTCTTATGTTCATTATGTTTATAATGCTTTAAAGATAATCACACAAGGAAAACTAGAACAGCTCACGTAAGTACCCCTTGGTTTTGATTTGATCATATTTAACCTACTAAGAATTAACTTCCCAGATGAGTAAGAATACAGGCCGGGCACAGTGGCTCACGCCTGTAATCCTAGCACTGTGGGAGGCCGAGGCGGGCGGATTGTTTGAGCTCAGGAGTTCAAGACCAGCCTGAGCAAGAGTGAGATCCCATCTTCTACTATAAATAGAAAGAAATTAGCCAAACAACTAAAAATATATAAAATTAGCCGGGCATGGTGGTACATACCTGTAGTCCCAGCTGCCCAGGGGGCTGAGGCAGGAGGATCACTTAAGCCCAGGAGTTGGAGGTTGCTGTAAGCTAGGCTGACACCACAGCACTCTAGCCCGGGCAACAGAGCGAGACTCTGTCTTCAAAAAAAAAAAAGAATACAAAACCTGCTTCTCACGACTGTTGTGAGAATTAAAGAGGAAGCTAGGCACTAGTTCTTGCCCCAGTGAGCTTACAGTCTTACAGTTAGTACAAAGAATTTATTAGTTACAATTGTGATAAGAATTACAAAGGAGGGCTGGGCAAGGTGGCTCACACCTGTAATCCTAGCACTTTGGGAGGCCAAGGCAGGAGGATCTCTTGAGCCCAGGAATTCAAGAACAGCCTGGGCAATAGTAAGACCCTGTGTCTATGAAAAATAAAAAATGAAAATAACTAGCCAGGCATGGTGGTGCTTGCCTATAGTCCTAGCTGCTCAGGAGGCTTAGACAGGAGGATTGCTTGAGCCCAGGAATTCAAGACCAGCCTGGGCAACATAGCGAGAGCCCATCTGTATAAAAATAAATAAATACCTGTAAAGCCCAAAACACTGCCTGGCACAGCAAGGTTTTGTTTTTCCTCCTTTTATTCCAGAATCATCAGTATTAATGCTGAACTCAGTTTTTTAACCTCCATAGACTTTTTTACATGCAGGAAGGGATTTTTCTTCAGAGAAATTTAGTTTAAAATTAGAAATAGTAATTTTCACCCTTGTTCTCCACCAGCTGGATGGAGAAAATGGAAGGAGTGATGGTCATAAACTCTGAGCTCCTTCCTATGCAGCGACTTTCTTAAAATTCTCCCCTCAACCCAGTCCCCCCATTCAAGTGGTCCTTTTTAACCACAGTGGGTGACCTTCTATGTGCCAGGCATGCTTTAGGCTTTAGGGATACAGTAGTGAGGGGCACAGAGAGGGACTGCAGAGAGCTCACGGTCTGGGGGAGAGCCAGGCAGGGACACCAGCTCATTGAGTGTGAACGTGCTTCACAGCTTGGGGGCTCAAGAAGCATGCATCACTGACTTTCTAAGTCCATTAAGTCTAATCCTTGGGGCCAGGCATGGTGGCTCACACCTGTAATCCTAGCACTCTGGGAGGCCGAGGCGGGAGGATTGTTTGAGCTCAGGAGGTTCAAGACCAGCCTAAACAAGAGCGATTCAAGACCAGCGTAAACAAGAGCGAGATCCCATCTCTACTAAAATAGAAAAAATTAGCTGGATGTGGTAGCGCATACCTGTAGTCCCAGCTACTTGGGAGGCTGAGGCAGGAGGATCACTTGAGCCCAGGAGTTTGAGGTTGCTGTGAGCTAGGCTGATGCCACAGCACTCTAGCCCTGGCAACAGAGTAAGACTATGTCTCCAAAAAAAAAAAATGTCTAATCCTCAGCCTCTCATCAGATGCAAAGACCAATGTTAGTTATTGGGAGGAAGAACCCTCTGCTTCTCTAGGGTCCCACTGGAGTTCTTGGGGCTTACTCAGTTAGAAATCATAGGAGCAGGGCACTGAACTGCAGTCTGGGCCACCTCCAAAATGCCACACCTGCATGACCCACCTCTAGGGTACACAGCCCCACTCCCCAAGCTGGGCTCAGGCTGGGCGTGGCCGCCCTAGGGACAAACAGCTATCTCCTGCCCATCCAGGATGCTCTGTTCTCGGGCACTCAGGTCGCCTCCTACTCAGACCCACCAGTCCTAACCCATCAGCAGTTTGTCTCCCCTGGTAGGAGTTGGGGTGGGACAAGGGAGTGACGAGGAGATGTGTGTTGGGACCTTTCAAAACACGATACTGCCCTCCCCTTCCTAAGTGGGATGGGGGAAGAAGGTGTCCATTCATTCCACAGATACTTACTGAGCACCTACGTGCCTAGGGGTTGCAGCAGTGAATAAAATATACACAAGTCCCTGCCCTCAGGGAGTTTACACAAGGGGGCAGCTGGGACAAATAATAGGATAAATAAGAAAAATATCTAGTATGTTAAATGGTGATAAGTGCTAAGCGGAAATAAAACAGGGAAAAGGGATGAGGTTGGCAGGAGTGGGGAGTGTGCGTTGTGCTTTAGATAAGGCGGAAAGGAAGATGTCTACACTCCACGGGTTGAGGATGCTGGGCAAAAACAACAGCCAGGGTAAAGACCTTGCGGCAGGAACATTCTGGCCTGGGCCAGATGACCCTGAGGTGACCAGGGAAGCTGCAGTAGAGTACACAAGGGTGGCAAAGAGGGCTTTTGGTGAGCCTTTACTCTGGTGAGCACATGGAGGATTTGAGCAGAGAGGCGACATGATCTGACCTGGGTTTGAGAGGAGGCCCCCGGCTGCCACATGGACAATTCACTGGGGGTCAAGGGCAGGGAGGCAACTGTGCTCATCTGATGAGTGAG